ATATACCTCCACTTATTTCTGCATGGTGCCTTGATGTAAAATTGTTTGTGGTCAGAACATGCAAGAGGAGAATGAAATTGCTGGAAATCATACCTGAGGCTCACAGGTATGCATGTGGCTAAGAGATAACAAGAAGTGTCAAGGTCCCTAGACCGTTCAACTGCCTCCTGGCATACATGAGGGGGATCACCTAAAGTCGGTTCCCGACCAACCAGGCTGTAGGTCATATGTTGGTTTGTGTACAGCCAGCAGTAACAGCCTGGTTGATCAGGCTCTGATCCAACATGAGGCCTGGACATGGACCGGGCCGCAGTTGCGTTGACCCCCAGAACACTCCAGGTATACTCCAAGAAGAAACATGGCTTGTAACCAGGCTACCTAGCTTTTTGAGGCATCTGTAGCTGGGTAGTCTAAGGCATCATGTTGGGGAGCTGTGCCATTCTCAACATATGGGTTTGAATCCTGCTGACCATGCTCTTTCTCTGTATGTACCTTTGCATGTTTTGTTGTGGGGGTTCGAATTGATGGATTCGGGAATAAACACAGGCTGGATGCCTTGGTAATGTATATTAAGATGGTAAATAAGAGGACAACACTCAGAGCCTTCGCCTGTCCTGTCTACTCTCTACTATGCCTTGTCTTGAACTGCACTACACAGTGCCCGGAGGGCATTCAAAGAGCTCGTGACGTCATGCTAGGTCAGCAGTTGGTCACATAACGGTCAGTGACATAATGATCAGTGATTCACACAGGGAGGCAGTGAATCAGTAACGGTTACTATGAGTACAGTAGTACACAGTACTGACAGTTTTTTCTGCATGGTATACCTGGAGAGGGTTTTGGGGGTCAGTGCCCCCGTGACCTGGTCTGTGAGCAGGCCTTGTGGTGGAACAGGTACTGATCAACCAGGCTGTTACTGTTGGCTGCATGTAAAACATAAGAACCACAGCCTGACTAGTCAGGTCCTGACTTAGGTGCCTGTCCAGCGCCTTCTTGAAGACAGCCAGGAGTCTATTGGTACTCCCCCTTATGTACGCTGGGAGGCAGTTGAGCAATTCTGGGCCCCGGACGTTTATTGTGTTCTCCAAAAAATCAGACAAGCGATACAAGATGCAAAGCGACCATGGGGAATTGGATCTGTGTTCCAGTTCCCCAAATTGAGCCTGAATACCTTCCATTCCCCCCCCCCCCACAGGCACTGTATATTCCCTATGAGTTTAGCACTCCCCCATGATTATAAAATAATGCAGTGGAACCTCGGTACAGTGGAACCTCAAAAATCGAACTTAATCTGTAACAGGAACTAGTTCTAAATTCGAGAAGTCTGAAATTCGAAGCAATATTTCCCATAAGAAATAATGGAAATACGTTCAATTAATCCGTTCCAGAAACCCAAAAATATTCACACAAAATACATTTTATAGAGATTAATTACAGTTTTACATACAACAAATACTATAGTTTTTAATTATGTATAGTAATACATATAACATTTTTACTTACCTTTATTTTAGATTGGTGATGGCATTTGGAAGATAGGGAGGAGGAGAGAGGGAGTTGGGGTTAGTGTTTGGAAGGAGAATCCCCCTCCATGAGGACTTCAGGTAAAGCCCTCTCTGGGGTTACTTCCCTTCTGTCTTTTAATGCCACTAGGACCAGCTTGAGTCACTGGACCCCTGTCTCACAAAATAACTGTCCACAGTCCTCTGTTTTTGGCGCCTCTAACATTTCCCTAAAATGGGACATGGTTCTGTCACTGAACTTGTTGCAAAGATGGCTTGTTTGAGCTTGCTCAGGGTGGTACTTCTGCACAAACATTTGGACATCATTCCACTTGGCACAAATCTCCTTAATCTTTGAAGAATTCACCTCATCCACTCCCAATATTAACACCTTTCGCAACATCAGCTTCCTTGATTTGTTCTTTCTTTGACAGGATAGAACTGATGGTCGACTTGTTTTTCCCATACATTCTGGCAAGCTCAACAAGTCTCGCACCACTCTTATACTTCTGTATTATTTCCTTCTTCACATCTATGGTGTTTCTCACTTTCTTTACCACAGGGGTACCACTAGCAAGTTTCTTTGGGCCCATGGCAGCATATTTCACAGTCCCACAAGCACTAAACACAATGAAATAATCGTAAAATGCGTGAATGAGAGCACAGGTTAGTGTTCACTCAGGCATAAACAAAGCTAGACTGCTCACGGCGCCTGCGTGGGGACGCAGACAGAGCGGGTGGCAGACAGGTCCCGTACCCGGTGGTCCGAAAATAGGGGCGCATTCGATAATAGGGACACAGTTTGTCCGAAAAAATGGTCCTATTTTCGAAACGTTCGATATGTGATATGTTCGATTTTTGAGGTTCCACTGTACTTGAACAGGTCCCTACTGGAACAATTCAGTATTGAACAGCTCCCTACTCGAACAATTTGGTATTTGAATGCTTTGTTCGGTAAAAAAATCGCTCAGTAATGGATAGTTTCCTCTGCACTTGACCAAACAAACACAACCTGCCAGAACTTTGCTGTAAACTGTTTCATGTTTCTTTTCATTTTTTGGTGTTTATATTATTTGTATAAATAAGTCACCATGGGGCCTACGAAGATTAGTTATAACAGCTAACCAAAAGGAAAATTGGTTGGGAAATATTCATTCAGTACTCGAACAGATTGGCATTCGAATGGTCTCCTGGAACTAATTAAGTTTGAGTACCAAAATTCCACTGTGATAATTTGATATGTAAAAGACTTAACATTCTAAATATTGTTATCTGACAATTATCTAGGCATTTTTCCACACATTAGAAAATGGGTCTACCGCCAACTCATTTAAAGGGGAAGATGTTTGTAGTTTATCCACAGGGATGACGGCCATGTTTTATCTAACATGTACAATACATCTGTAATTTAACCAAAAGGAAGGTCATAGTTTATCCCACAAGATTTTGAGGCGGACACTGCTCGAACCGTCAAGAACCAACCCTATTTCCTCTATGTGCTACATTTAATACAATCCATTTCATTCATATAGGAGTCCTGTTTTAGTCAATGGACTATAGCCTCCACTATAAATGAATCTAATTTGAATAAACTGCCACTGTTATTATACTTTTGCATAATTTTTTTTGTCTAGTTCTATTGCACGCTTAAATGATAAGTGTAAACATGTTTTTAGGCTTTTATATGTAGTACTGGAAAGTGAATAAAAGGCTGTGGTTCCTTTTATAGAGGTGGTCTGGAACCTAACTGCCATATTAGTGAGGTATGCGTTTACTTGAAAGATGGAGAATGGCTTATGCAATAAATAAACTTTATGCAGTACATTAGTGAGCAGCTTAAAGCCATAAACAGAGGCGTCGCTAGGGCTCGTGTCACTTGGGGTGGAATCTTTGGTGTCACCCTGGATGGCATCTTTGGTGTCACCCCCATGAAATCCAAGGGTGGGAGGATAGGGGTAGTAAACTCCAGTTACATCACTGCTGCATGAGCAGTGACTAATCTAGACATAAAATAAATAAATGAAATGAGAATGTTTAAAGGCCATAAACTAAAATTTATTAATGATAAAATAAATAATCGTAGTAACATTGAGGAAACAAACTCAAATACCACTTTGAGTACAGGCAACAGATCCTAGATTCATTCATCTTCAACAATGAAAAAAAAAAAAAACTTGAAAAATGAAGAAAAACACTAGTTCCGATTTAACCTTGAGTACAGGTAACATCTCAGTGAATCTGATATTTCATTTCCTTGCCTTCAATCCTGCAAAATCATCTATCACATCATCAAAATCAATGATTTTCCCTATATAGGCCTATTTGTACTCTGTAATCCTATAATAGGCTATATAGCAACAAAGGATTTTTCTCTTAGGTTGCTGCAGCACGGTTTTGGTCATTAGTCTTACCAGTTGGGATCCTCTCCAAGATACGATACTACGTGCCGCAAAATGCCCTTCTCACACTATACCACTCACTTATTTATCCATACCTCACCTATGCTATTTGTGCTTGGGGATCAACTGCAGCAACACACCTAAAGCCAATAATAACCCAACAAAAAGCTGCAGTAAGAATAATCACTAAATCCCATCCCTGGCAACACCCCCCCCCCCACTCTTCATAGATCTAAACTTACTCCCTGTTCAGTACATCCACACTTACTACTGTGCAGTCTACATCTACAGGACCTTAAACTCCAATATCAACCTTGACCTAAAACGCTTTCTTGATAGTTATGACAGAACCCACAGGCATAACACCAGACACAAACATCTCTACGACATTCCCCATGTCCGACTAAACCTTTACAAAAATTCAATGTATGTCAAAGGCCCTAAAATCTGGAACACCCTACCTGAGAACTCTAGAACTGCAGACACATTCATCACCTTCAAATTACCATTAGAAAACATCTTATCTCCCTGATAAACCCCATCAACTAACTACACAAATACCACCTGGTGGTTCACACTTACACTCACCCATTTGACCATAAACAGAAATATTAATCTCAATCTTAAAATAATGAATCCTATGATACTCCAATACTGAAACTATGTACTGTGCCAAAACAAAAGCATTCACATTGCTAAACTCACAAACTAGTATTTAGTCACTTAGCCATAATACCAACTTGCCTCATAATTTGTAATATTTTAAAATAAAGAATTAAACTAAGTCTGCCCGAAATGCCTAGCCATGCTAGGCATTCTAGTGGTACACTCTGTAATCATTATTTAACTACATGTAAACCACACAACAACCAAATTCTGTAAATTCAACATTGTAATCTTTATAGAGAATAAACTTTGAATTGAATTGAATTCTGTAGTTTCTATGGTGTCACCCGGGGTGGCCCCCTCCCCCTTACAACGCCCCTGGCCATAAATGTATTATAATTGCCATTGGTAAGTTATAACTCGTGGATTTATAGATGCAGACATTAGATGGAACTGAAGTCACATGTTAATTAGACATCGCTTCCTTTGACAGACCCAATGTGTGTGTGGACAGGGAAGAGATTGACGAGGGCAAGGAACAAGATACTGACAATGCCAACATCTCTGGCTCTTCAAGCTCCTCTTCTTTCATCTTCTCCATGGGTAATATGGAGATGACATCATGCAGTGAGAACAGAGACAAGTACACCTGCACCTCCAAGTGAGTCACAATCTGCTTATTCATGCCTCTAAAGGTATTCATTAAGAATGTGTGTGTGTGTGTGGTCATGTGTTGTGATGGGTTGTGGGGATAATATATCTACCAGTAAGTTAATCAGGTCTTACAGAACATAATTGTTTCTATTTACTTGTGGTATGGTTCTTTTTTTTTTCACTAAACTGTATATAGTATGAAAATGTGTTCATGTTTAAATTAGTGCTTGAAACATAGTGCGGTATGTTTTGTGTATGCAGTTATTTTAGTCACATAAAGCACTAAACTGTTAAGTGTCATTCATGGCTTTTATAGTGAATTAGTTTGATATCTATTATGGACCCCATACTCATCCTGAGGGCAGTAGTCAGTGGTGCAGAAGTGGTCCAGGAACATGGCCCAAACACTTGTTTGCTAAACAGACTATTTTTATAAGTGGAATACAGTAGTACAGTACATATATGTATTATACAGTTGGGGTGAGTGGCTTATATTATTTCTTTATATAAAGCCTCTTATGTGTAGCATTTTGGGTAACCTTAAAACTAAAGTATTATTACAAATACAAGAGAATAAGCTAAGCAAGTTATATTGGTAATACACCATATACTATATTTACAATTTTTTTTTTTTTAATTTTGAAACAGTAATAATGAGTTTACACAGTTATGAATTCAGTCACAGATGCAGTTAAGAGTTATTTAATTTTTTTGTTTTTTACAGTATGCAAAGTCAGGATATTTTCCTCATTAACATTTGTGTGTGGATTGTCCCTGAATTCATAATTCTTAGCACTGCAGCCCATAATGATGCAGGTTGTGAAAGTGGATTCCCAGACAATTCCGAGTTTGCATATAGTTAATGTACTTCTAAAAAAAATTATATAGTCTGGGCCTCATCACATACTGTAAGATACAGTAGTTACAATTTGAGTTTTAATTTATATACAGTATGGTGTTTTAATAAAGTATTTATGATGAGATTCAAGGGAAATGGTTTAGCCAGACTTAAATCCTGGAGGTAGGACGTGCAGTGCCTGCACTATGAGGGTGTAGGGCTTTTGCAGTTTCGGTCATTAAGTTGTGATGCCTGCACACTTCTGGCAAGACAGCTATTGAATGAATGATGGTGAATGTGTTTTTGTTTTGGGGGGTCACCCTACTTTGGTGGGAGACAGCTAATGTAGATATTGTGCTGACCATCATTATACTATTATATTGACCTAATTGCTAGTACTTGTGGCACTCATCTTGGCCAACTTCACAAACTGCTGCTGTCTTCAGATCTCCAGTCAGGCTCTCTCTTGCCTTTCCTGGACACTGCTTAGCTGTGCTGGCCTTGACTCTCTGCTTCCATCTGTGCTAGTCTTACTGTTTGCATTTATATTCTCTACGCTGTAACTAATATAACTGCCTACCAATTGCTTCAATTCTGTTTTTCAGGAGCTCGCGCCGTGGCCTTCACAAGACAGTGGTAGTGACACATCGCTGCTGCCATGGTTATGTCAAAGAAGCTTCAGAATGTGTCAAAGGTAATTACTACTGTGTTCACAAAATGAGAAAACTGTTTGTTGTGGAAAGGAAACATACTTCCAGGTGGGGTTAGTACAGAAACCACAAAAGCAAATTTCAGGTACCTTTGTGTTTTTTAAATGAGCAAGTAGAAAAATCAACTTAAGAAAAACTAATTTCAAAGATCTGTAATATAATTTAAGTACATGTGAAAGGACACAAGTGCAAGTAATGTGAAATTTTATTGTGGCAATGTTTCACTCTATGGGAGCTTTATCAAACCGTTACATATAGGTTTTGTATAGGAAATCTTTGGTGAGTGTCTCTCACTGTTGTGTGCTGATGGGTTATTATGTTGACTGATCATTCAAAAGGTCCATCATTTTGGTGTTGTAGTCACTCGCCAATGACCCAAATATTATTGTCACTCCACCTTTGTCGGTGGTGGTGACGATAATATTTGGGTCATTGGCAAGATCCTTAAGGGCAGTGAGATATCGTCTAGGAAGATTAACGGCTTGATAAAGCTCCTGGAGAGTGAAACCTTGCCACAATAAAATGTCACATTAGTTCACTTATGTTCTTTTATCTAACATATTATCAATAATTCTACCAACATTAATACAATATAATTTGTCTCTGAAACAGAGCATTACTGACACAAGACAACCACTGTACCATCTGTTCAAAGAGTTAAATGTACTGGTAAACTCCAGGTCAACTCCAGGTCTTCTTCTTTCAACACACCGGCCATATCCCACCGAGGTGGGGTGGCCCAAAAGGAAAAAACGAAAGTTTCTCCTTTTACATTTAATAATATATACAGGAGAAGGGGTTACTAGCCCCTTGCTCCCGGCATTTTAGTTGCCTTTTACAACACGCATGGCTTACGGAGGAAGAATTCTATTCCACTTCCCCATGGAGATAAGAGGAAATAAACAAGAACAAGAACTAGAAAGAAAATAGAAGAAAACCCAGAGGGGTGTGTATATATATGCTTGTACATGTATGTGTAGTGTGACCTAAGTGTAAGTAGAAGTAGCAAGACATACCTGAAATCTTGCATGTTTATGAGACAGACAAGACACCAGCAATCCTACCATTATATAAAACAATTACAGGCTTTCGTTTTACACTCACTTGGCAGGACGGTAGTACCTCCCTGGGCAGTTCCTGTCTACCAACCTACTACCTAGGGGTAAACTCTAGGTATATACATTATATGGTCCCTGCATTCTGATTGACAAACATGTTGATTTTAACACCTAACACCCCACTTTGGCTATATGTAAGTGTGGGAGGGATGATGGAATATTCCTATAAGTCCAGACTGAGTGGCTTTGGAGGTTCAACAGCATTTTCTGAGAGAAACCATTGCTTCATCCCTATTAAGGAGCTTGTGGTTTCCAGTGTATGAAAAAACCTCTTGACCTGCTGGAACTTTTCATGTGTTGGGTACAAGGTGTCAGTGATAAATCTCTTTCTTAGATGTTCTACAAAAATGGAAAAATGATTATACTTTTCAAGTATTTAAAATTTGTTTTGTAACATGTTTTATATGGTTCAATTGCCAAGTTAATTTTTGCATATTTATTATAAATTCTTATTTTGTAATTTCTTACAGTTGAGTTGCGTGACTTGAAAGAGACATTGCAGGAGATTGGAGCAACAGATTTCCTCTCTCTGACAAAAGCTGTAGGAATTGATGAGATCCTCAAGGATAACATCACTCTCTTTGTTCCTACTAATGAAGCCATGCAAGAATATACTGCTGACTTGGAGGCAGAGGTCAGTTGCTGGTATTGTGAGAGTAATGTTCCTTGTAGAAATGTAGTTTGAATGATGCACTTGAGACATTTTGGATAGTTCGTTTATTATATATTCACAAAAATGCAGTAAACCCATTTGGGTTACGTATAGAGCTATTTTATTTACTTAAGTACCTCTATATTTTAATGTATTACCACACAACACATTTATTTGGAAGTGTTAAAGGTATCGGGGTTGATCCGAGGAGGAAAAGAAAGATAGTACCAGTTTGCCAGGTAAAGAACCCATCACAATCATTGTATGTTCCTTTGAAGGGTATTATATTAATACTGTATAAAGTAAAAATATTACATACTGGTGATTTAAAACTGTTCAGTCTGTATCATGGAGAAAGAGGAAAATGTGTAGATATTAGGGGAAAATATACATAATTCAGGTTTAAAAATACAGTAGTCTAGCCTTCTAACTTGTGAGGTATTATGAAGACAGACACGTGTAGCAGAACAAGCATATATTAGGATAATGTTTTTCTCTAAGGAGGTCTTTTCATCTCATTGCTTAAAGCAGTCTCCTTAGAACAAACTCCTGCCCCAGCTAAGGCTTATTCTGTTGTGTATGTCTGACTTTTCTCTACTAGAACAATGTAGCTTTCATTTATTCAAATTCAAATTTTTATTTCTTTGCAAAGTTTACACTGTGTGATTTACATATTATAAGATATTGTTAAGCACAAAGAAAGCCACTAGCATTAATTATAGCCCTAAATTGATTGGCAGACAGGGGACATTTTGCTGGTTTGGGCAATGAATTCTAGAACTTGGGGCCCTTTATGTGCATTGCATTTTTGCATAGTGTGAGACGGACATGGAGGATGTTGAAAAGTGTTTTGGGCCCTGTGTTGTGCCTGTGTGTTCTGTTGTAGCTATTAAGGAGAAGTTTGAGAGGAGGGTTTATATTGAAGTTTATTGTTCTATATCTATATATATATTCTCCATGGGGAAGTGGAACAGAATTCTTCCTCTGTAAGCCATGCATGTTGTAAGAGGCGACTAACATGCTGGGAGTGAGGGGCTAGCAACCCCCTCTCCTGTATACATTACTAAAGTTAAAAAGAGAAACTTTCGTTTTACTTTTTGGGCCACCCTGCTTCAGTTTGATATGTTTGTTGAAAGATTATTATGTATAGTAAGCACAATAATATGAGTGCATATTTTGTATGTTAAGTAAGTTCCCACTCTTGAAGAGCAGAGGGGTGTTGTCTGGTTCAGGAATTGATCATCCATACTGCAGCTTTTTGTCGGGTTATTAATGGTTTGAAGTGATTGGTCATGGTAGATCCTCAAGCATAAATACCATAGGTGAGGTAAGGATAATTAGTGGTATAGCGTATACTGTGCATACATGCATGCATGCTCACTTCTGTGGTTGTGGGGGTCGAGTGTCAGTACATACTGGCCCCACCTCTTCGCTGGTCGCTGCTAGGTTCATTCTCCTGGCTGTGTACCTCTTCTTAAAGTTATGCTTGGATCCCTGGATCCTGCCTCTACCACTTCACTCTCCAGATAGTTTCACTTCCTGACTACTCTAAGGCTGAAGAAATACTTCCAAACATCCCTGTGACTCATATGAGTTTTCAACGTCCATCTGTGCCCTCATGTTCCCATTTCCCATCTCTGAAATGATTTGTCCCTATTCTTTTCCTGTCATTATTTTGTACATTATCATCACATCACCCCAAGTCCTTCTGTACTCCGGTGTCATCACGCTGAGTTCCCTTTGAGTAAGGTTTGCAGTTTTTGCCCCCTGAGGCTGTACTTCGTCTGTGGTCTGTTTTCCTCATTTTTCAAACTTCATAACTTTGCACTTGCTGGGGTTAAACTCCAGGAGCCATTTGTCAGACCAGACCTGCAGCCTGTCCAGGTCCATTTGTAGCCTTTCTTGGTCCTCATCCACTTGTATTTTCCTTGTTAGTTTTGCATCATCTACAAACAGGGATACCTGTGACTATTCCTTACCTTATGTCATTCATGTGTACAAGAAACAGCACCAGCCCTACGACTGATCCTTGTGGAACCCCCACTTGTTACATGCACACATTCCTACACCTCTTCATGGACAATTCCTTGTTGCTTCCTTGTTAGATATGTCTTGATCCATTGTAGTACCTTTCTTGTTATTCCTGCCTGCTCCTCTAGTTTTTGTACCAGTCACTTGTGTGGTACTGTGTCGAAATGCAATCTGCTCATCCCTCTCTCTTCTGTTGCCTCGTCATAGAACTCCAGTAGTTTCATGACACAGGATTCACCGTCTCTAAAGCCATGTTGGTTGTCATGTATGAACACTCCTTTCTAGGTGCTCCACACCGTGTTCTCACTAGCTTTGTGTGTGTGTGTGTGTGTGTGTGTGTGTGTGTGTGTGTGTGTTTGTTTCTTTTTGTTTTGTTTTTTGTTTTGTCTGTTTATTTTTTATTTAAATGCAAATGCTTATTGAGTGATTTTAAATTACATCATGAATCTTTTTCAGAATGAGTTAGATAGTGGTCTAGAAGGAGATCGGTCTTTCAATGAGGTGTATTTGCGGCGGCGGCGCTCTGCTGATACTGAATCTCTCATTCTCTCCCATGTGACTAAGGGCATTATTTATGCAAGTGACCTCCATGATGAACAGGTATGGAAGTTAGCAAATTTAATAATTTTTAAGAAAACTAAATTTAGGAAAATGCTTCTGGGTATGAATATCACAAGTAAAGATGACTCAGTTGAGCTTCTGTAATAAGAGGACTGTTTCAAAATTTTATAGTGGAAATTTATTTTAAATTTATTATTATTAAACTGGTAGAAGTCATATAAGATGTAGGAAAGCAGAATAGTTTAATACAAGACTGGGATGGGTACCTTACTTCCTTGGATAGTCCTACCCTAGTATTATGACTAGTATGATACACTCAAGTAATGATATCAAAACCTATTAAGGATATATGAGTCCCTAATAATGTGACTTTCAAAGTTTGCATGAAAAGTAACTTTTTTTTTTTTTTTATGAAGGTCCTTCACAGTTTGGCTGAGAACTCTACTCTCAGGATAAACACATACAGCACCAACCCACCAGCTGCCACTGTCAACTGTGCTAGACTCGTCAGTGTCAACCAGCACTCTACCAATGGGGTCGTTCATACCATAGCCAAAGTACTGGAGCCTGTTACTAAGAGTCTGGCTGATCTCATCACCTCTGATCCTCAGTTCTCTGTCTTGAAACGATGTAGGTATATTTACTTTGGTGGCTTCTACTACTTTTGTTTCATGTTTTAGAACTGACAGTTTGTTAAAACAAAAAATGCCTAACTTATGACAGTTAAAATATTGATGAATAAGACATATGCAGCACTTAGGTGTTGCACATGTCTTATTTATCAATGTCTGTTAAATCCAGAATTATCTGTTATTGTTTTGTTTATGGAAAAAACCTTGACATTTGGATTTAACTGACATTCAGTTCAATTCAATTCAAGTTTATTCTCTACAAGGGTTACAATGTGGGGTTTACAGGTTTTGGGTATTGTGTGGTTTACATGTTATAAAATACTAATTACAGAGGGGGCCACTAGGACACCTAGCATGGCTAGGCATTTCGAGCAGACTTAGATTAATTCTTAACATTAAATCCTTACAGATTATGGTATTAAGGCTAAGTGACTACATCATAATTTGTGAGTTTAGCAATGTGAATGCTTTTGTTTTGGCACAATACAAGGTGTCTATATTGGAGTATCATAGGCAAACTTATGACTAGTTAGGATTTATTATTTTAAGATTAAGATTAGCATTTCTGGTTTTATAGTCAGTGGGCGAGTGAGTGTAATTGTGAACCACCAGGTGGTTATCATGTAGTTAGTTGTCGGGGTGGATCAGGGAGATAAGATGTTTTCTAACTGTAGTTTTGAAAGTGATGAATGTGTCTGCAGTTCTAGAGTTTTCAGGTAGGGTGTTCCAGATTTTAGGTCCTTTGAAATAAATTGAATTTTTGTAAAGGTTTAGTCGAGCATGGGGAATGTCAGAGATGTTTGTCTGGTGTTATGCCTGTGGATCCTGTCACAGCTATCAAGAAAGCATTTTAGGTAAAGGTTAATATTGGAATTTAAGGTCCTGTAGATATAGATTGCACAGTAGTAAGTGTGGATGTTCTGAACAGGGAGTAAGTTTAGATCTATGAAGAGTGGGGGGGTGTGTTGCCAGGGATGGGATTTAGTGATTATTCTTACTGCGGCTTTTTGTTGGGTTATTATTGCTGCAGTTGAACCCCAAGCACAGATAGCATAGGTGAGGTATGGATATACAAGTGAATGGTATAGTGTGAGAAGGGCAGTTTGCGGTACATAGTATCGTATCTTGGAGAGGATCCCCACCGTTTTGGATACTTTTTTTTATGTGTTGGATATGGGTGCTGAAATTTAGGTTGTTGAGGTATAGGCCAAGGAATTTGCCCTCATTATGTCTGGCAATTAGTGTTGTCGATCCTAATGTTAAGTTGCGCAACACCTGCTCTGCTACCAAACATAATGTAGTAGGTTTTGCCAGTGTTAAGTGTAAGTTTATTGGCTGTCATCCAAGTTGGATATTTGAGCAGCTCCTCGTTAACAATGGTGTTGAGGGTGGCAAGATTAGTGGTGGAGATGACATAAGTCGTGTCGTCAGCAAAGAGAATGGGTTTCAGGTGTTGGGATATGTTTGGAAGATCATTGATGTAAATGAGGAAGAGCAGGGATCCAAGGACACTTCCCTGTGGAACTCCAGTATCAAGTGGCCATATTGATGAGGCTGTGTCTTTAATGGTGACATACTGATACCTATTAGAAAGGTAGGATTTAAAATATGCAAGCGCATGGCCCCTTATACCATAGTGGTCAAGTTTGTGGAGTAGGATGCCGTGGTCAACTGTGTCAAACGCTTTTCTTAGGTCAATAAAAATTCCTAGCATTAATGGACATGACTGTTGATGCTTCCATTAAATAGAGGTATCACTGAGACAGTGGGAAGCTGCATTGTACAACATGTGGTGAAAACTTGATCTCTTAGAATAATAAACCTATGAAACTGTACCCATTAAAGCTGCCATAGCAAGACCTGGAACAAATACTAAAATACTCTACTGAACATCTGGTTTACTGTTTAATTAGCTAAGCAAGTAGTAATGAACTATGGACAAATTTATTGATATCTGGAAAATGCACAGTATTTGATAAAATGGAAAGGGGTAAGAGGTTCTTTGTAATTTATGGGGTTTCCTGTGTCCAGCTGAGCCACAAGAATTTACTGTTGCATCTGATGCAATTTTTTCAGGTGTATTTTAAGCTGAGCAGAGTTCTTGCTTTGCTGATTTCAGCTGGGAGAAGAAATATTTTTTTGTAGTCCTTTTTATTGTAGTTTGGCAAACTTTCAAGTTGTGACCTTTCATATGTCACATTAAATATCTTGAAAGTGGTTGGAGTTTTATGTTTTTACAGATGCACATATGAGTCACTCTGTGCTGGTTGGGGCTTTAACCCTTTCAGGGTCCACAGGCCCTCTGGAGTTTACCTGGAGACCTGGAGAGAGTTTCGGGGGTCAACGCCCCCGCGGCCCGGTCTGTGACCAGGCCTCCTGGTGGATCAGCGCCTGATCAACCAGGCTGTTGCTGCTGGCTGCACACAAACCAACGTACGAGCCACAGCCCGGCTGATCAGGAACTGACTTTAGGTGCTTGTCCAGTGCCAGCTTGAAGACTGCCAGGGGTCTGTTGGTAATCCCCCTTATGTGTGCTGGGAGGCAGTTGAACAGTCTCGGGCCCCTGACACTTATTGTATGGTCTCTTAACGTGCTAGTGACACCCCTGCTTTTCGTTGGGGGGATGGTGCATCGTCTGCCAAGTCTTTTGCTTTCGTAGTGAGTGATTTTCGTGTGCAAGTTCGGTACTAGTCCCTCTAGGATTTTCCAGGTGTATATAATCATGTATCTCTCCCTCCTGCGTTCCAGGGAATACAGGTTTAGAAACCTCAAGCGCTCCCAGTAATTGAGGTGTTTTATCTCCGTTATGCGCGCCGTGAAAGTTCTCTGTACATTTTCTAGGTCCGCAATTTCACCTGCCTTGAAAGGTGCTGTTAGAGTGCAGCAATATTCTAGCCTAGATAGAACAAGTGACCTGAAGAGTGTCATCATGGGCTTGGCCTCCCTAGTTTTGAAGGTTCTCATTATCCATCCTGTCATTTTTCTAGCAGATGCGATTGATACAATGTTATGGTCCTTGAAGGTGAGATCCTCCGACATAATCACTCCCAGGTCTTTGACGTTGGTGTTTCGCTCTATTTTGTGGCCAGAATTTGTTTTGTACTCTGATGAAGATTTAATTTCCTCATGTTTACCATATCTGAGTAATTGAAATTTCTCATCGTTGAACTTCATATTGTTTTCTGCAGCCCACTGAAAGATTTGGTTGATGTCCGCCTGGAGCCTTGCAGTGTCTGCAATGGAAGACACTGTCATGCAGATTCGGGTGTCATCTGCAAAGGAAGACACGGTGCTGTGGCTGACATCCTTGTCTATGTCGGATATGAGGATGAGGAACAAGATGGGAGCTAGTACTGTGCCTTGTGGAACAGAGCTTTTCACCGTAGCTGCCTCGGACTTTACTCTGTTGACGACTACTCTCTGTGTTCTGTTAGTGAGGAAATTATAGATCCATCGACCGACTTTTCCTGTTATTCCTTTAGACTTGTTCTCCGGGTCCCCCAAATTTCAAAAAGAAAACAAATTATTTTTTCTTATGAAAAGATAGAGAATCTTTTCCCAATCATAATGACACCAAAAGTATGAAATTTGATGGAAAACTTACGGAATTATGCTCTTGCGAAGTTAGCGGTCTCGATGATGTTTACGCATCAGCAATTTTGCCCACTTTGAGCTCTATTTTCTGCAAATTCCGATGTACTAGTTGACAAAAATCATAACTATATTTCGCTAGAACTCCATTTTTTCTATCGAATGAGTACAAGAAACCACCAATTTACCGATTTCAACTATCCAGTACAGTGGTCAGAATTTAGCAATTTTGCCAATTTCACACAAATTTCAAAAAATGCCAATTTCCAAATAGGGTCCAGAATAAACAAGAAAGACATTCCTGACACTAAAATAACATTTCCTCTGTTCATTAGTCACGTCCCCATGCCCCTCTTACATTTCTTTTGCTTTCCACTTTGAAATTTTATTCTCACAAAAAACATAAGATTTACTGTTATGCAGACTACTGCATTAGTGTAGAAATGGTATAAATAATATTGGCGCACTTGTGAAAGAATATTAGACTCGCCAGTTGACGTGTATTGGACACTTAGCATGATTTGTTTACTTTTGAACTTTGGTAAAAATTGAACATTTCTGCTAATTTGAGCTCAATTTCAAGGTACTTTTCATTGTAAAACCAGTCAAAATCATCTCAATTTCTGTAATATGTCTTCCATTCTATACAATGAGACCAGGAAAACTAGAATACAACAATAAATACCATACGAAAATATTGTGCAAAGTCGCTGTTTTAATCCAAAAACATGGTCAAAGTTTTTTTTTTCTCATTACGCACTGTGTGCTGCAGGATTTTTTTTTAGACTGTGCACACTGACCACATAGACCCATTCTTTCATATGTAGGCCTACCAGCTTTCTCTCTAGATTTGAAGGTGCTAGAATTTATGCATACTAGTACGTCATGGACACTGGCGCGTAAGCTGTACTAGTACGGCCGAAACCCTGAAAAGGTTAAACTACCAAGTACAGTGGACCCCCGGTTTACGATATTATTTCATTCCAGAAGTATGCTCAGGTGCCAGTACTGAACGAATTTGTTCCCATAAGGAATATTGTGAATTAGATTAGTCCAATTCAGACCCCCAAACATACACATACAAACGCACTTACATAAATACACTTACATAATTGGTCGCATTGGGAGCTGATCATAAAGCGGGGGTCCACTGTATAATAATGTTCATGACTCTAAGATAAGCAGTATTGTGTGTTTGAAGTGTTCTCGGTCCAGTAGCTCTCTCACCGTAGCTTGGTACAGTACAGCATTCATTGTTATTACTACTGTATATTCGTGGGGAATATACAGGAGTAATACAACACCTGGAGAATTGGAGGTAATAGTTTAATCCATGGAAAGGGAGACTGCTCCCTATTCCTTGGATAAGATCCCTTCATAGTATCAAGGAACCCCCTGTAAGGACAATATGACATGCAGATTTTAGACTTTAAGATAGCATCATTATCTTGTATCTGCTGAAACTTCCAATACAAAATGAATCTGTTTATGAAATGTATATAGTACATGTTGAATACATGTATGTAAGGATATGTTAATTGTTTGTAGGTAGTAGGTTGGTAGACAGCAAGCACCCAGGGAGGTACTACTGTTCTGCCAAGTGAGTGTAAAACAAAACCCTGTAATTGTTTTACATGATGGTAGGATTGCTGGTGTCTTTTGTCTGTCTCATAAATATGCAAGATTACAGGTACGTCTTGCTACTTCTGCTTACACTTAGCTCACACTATACATACGTGTAAAAGCATATATATACACACCCCTCTGAGTTTTCTTCTATTTTCTTTCTAATTCTTGTTCTTGTTTATTTCCTCTTATCTCCATGGGGAAGTGGAACAGAATTCTTCCTCTGTAAGCCATGCGTGTCGTAAGAGGCGACTAAAATGCTGGGAGCAAGGGGCTAGTAATCCCTTCTCCTGTATATATTACTAAATTTAAAAGGAGAAACTTTAGTTTTTTCTTTTGGGCCACCCCACCTCGGTGGGATATGGCTGGTATGTTGAAAGAAAGAAAGATGTTAATTTTATTTATTTATTTATTTATTTATTTAGTAATTTTAGCATATATAGAGGTACAAAAAATACAGGTAAGAGCAGCATGCCAAAGCCACTTATATGCATAGCATTACGGGCTGGCTTAAAATTAACTTAAGATTAGTTATTAAATGAACTCTTGTCCCAGTTTTTTTTATTTCTGTAGATGCAAAGTAGGTCTGGCAAAATAAAATGAAAGGATAGTGCTAAAAAATACATGTTAGTGATGTCACTATATATGTATATGAATTAAATTTTTTTTGCATTAAGTAATATACTGTATCAACAGTGGTGAGCCAGGCTGGCCTCCTGACACAGCTGAGAGAACCAGGACAGTTGACAGTGTTTGCTCCCACTGATGCAGCCTTCAGGACTCTTCCCGAGTCTGTTTTGGAGGCTTTGGTTGATGGCAGTGCTTGCCTTGAAGGTACATGTTCTTTATGTATTATTGAATGCTTTAAAACTGCTGATATTTACGGCAGTGCATGCATTAATGTAGTCTGGGTGAATTATAGTATATGTTAGTGGGGAAGGGCTATAGCAGTAGGGGTCATACAGTGCCTAAGAAATGGGAGGTAAGGTAATCAGGCTTGATTCCAGGAAGCAAAGAATAGCTCTTATTTCTAGGATCAAAAACCCTTCACCAGCATCAAGACACCTCCCATGAAGGGCTGTTGAGTGAAGCATATTTCCAAGTGTACTGTATATTTTGGTGATAATTTTATAATTGTGGAAAGAGCTAAACCTGTGCGAGTCATTAGCGCTAATCAAACTACGGTACACTGTACATGTATGTATATTTATTCTCAGTGGGAGATGGCTGATGTGTTGAAAATAAAAAATTAATAGTATATGCAATATATATTGTTTATTGCAGCTGTGGTGAAGAATCATATCTTGCCCAATGTAATCTGCTCTGCAGCGGTGCAGGGCAAGGCTCGCACTGTCAACTTGCTGGAGAACTACCTCCTTCTGGAGAAGACTGAGGACGACAAGATTTTTGTGGAGGATGCTCAGGTTGTTGTTAGAGACATTGTCGGTACTAATGGTGTTCTTCACATAGTTGATAGCCCACTCATGCCTCAGGAAGGTAAGCTCAAGCTTTCTAAAGTAACATTCTGTTTGTATGTACAGAATTATTCTGAATCAAGTACAGTGGTACCTCAGGATACGATACGAAGGCTGTTCGAGTGCCGATACCAAACGAATTTGTCCCCATAAGGAATAATGTAAATTAGATTACTCCGTTTCAGACTCCCAAATATACACTTACAAAAGCACTTGCATAAATACACTTACATAATTATTCGAGTTTTGAGCTGTTCGTATCCCGAGGTACTACTGTATTATAATAATTGTGAAGTGCTAAACCTTTGTGGGGCTGACAATGCTGGTGGGAATACAAGTTTGATATGAGGTAGGGAAGGATAGCTCTGATTTGTTTGATCATGAGCAATGCACCAGCATCGATAAATCCTCCTTTCAGGGTAAAAATAATATTGCCAAAAAATAAAGTTGCCCACTGAGCTGGTGTTGATGAGCGAGTCGGCATTATGTGCTTCAGTGTTCTTGAATTATTTTTGAATGTTGTATTTCATAAATTATGGAAAAAAGCAACTACATATCCTAGAAAGTTATTTGTATTCCCCTCATAAACTCTTAGACGTCTTAAGCAGTAGTTCCTCAAGCAAGTTATTATGTATTTGTGGGGAAGTGTTAAACCCAAAGGACCACAGTGCCTGAGAAATAAGAGGTGGTGGTAAACAGGTTTGATTTGAGGGAAGGAATGGTAATTTTTATTCTTTGTAACATGATTCCTTCACCAGAATCAGGCAGTTTCCCCTTCCTCATTGAAGAGTTGTTTGGTACATTTATATCATGAAATGTGGATTTTTGCTGTTCCAATATTTAAAAGTGTTCATATTTTTTACTGGTTGGTTTTGTATTGATATATTAAAGTACTGTATAAAAAGCAAAAACAAGTGGAGTACTGCACAGTACACATATATAATTAGGGTAATTGACATGTTTAACTACTTGTTATTCGAGGTATTTTGGCAGCCTTAAAACTAAGTATACAGCCTCTCCTCACTTAGCAACGTACTCGTTTATCGAAGACACGGACTTATGATGGGCTTTCTGACCAGTGTGCATACCTAAATAATATATATTAGGGCTGATTTCCTCTCTTCTGTTCATTACAATATATGTACACCATATACACCATTTAGTATATTTAAAAATATACTAAAAATGTTATAAATGGTGCAAAGGTGACACTAAAACAATATCAGAAATCGTTGATACAAACCCACTACCTAGTATGCTCCTTGCTAAGCGATGAATTTGTTTACCGATGTGGTTTTAGGAACGGAACTCCACCATTAAGTGAGAAGAGGCTGTAATTACTAGACAGTGAGATAAATGGTACAAGATAATAAGAAAACTTAGTGTATAATATACTGAAGGATTTCAGTAACTTAATACAATCCTTACTAAAGATACATTAAGGATGAAGCTGCCCCCTTCAAGGCAGGCGAAATTGTTGACCTGGAGAATGTATAGAGAACTTTCACGGCACACATAAGTATGATAAAGCACCTAAATTACTGGGAACAGTTGAAGTCCCTTGATTTGTATTCCCTGGAACACAGGTGAGAAGAATACATGATAATACACATATACACTTGGAAAATCCTAGAGGGATTAGTACCAAACCTGCACACAATCACTCCCTACGAAAGCAAAAGACTTGGCAGATGTAACATTTCTCCAATGAAAAGCAGAGGTGCCCCAAGTACACTAAGAGACAACACAATAATTGTCAAGGGCCCAAGACTGTTCAACTGCTTCCCAGCATACATAAGGGGGATTACCAATAGACCTCTGGCTGTCTTAAAGAAGGTGCTGGACAGGCACCTAAAGTCAGTACCTGATCAGCCGGGCTGTGGTTCTTTTGTTGGCTTACATGCGACCAGCAGTAACAGCCTGGTTGATCAGACCCTGATCCACCATGAGGCCTGGTCTCAGACCGGGCCATGGGGGCGTTAATATCCAAAGCTCTCTCCAAGTACATGAATTAATACAGGTACACCATCGATTTTCTGGCAATGGATACAGGAGAAGGGGTTACTAGCTCCTTGCCCCCGGCATTTTAGTCGCCTCTTACGACACGCGTGGCTTATGGACAAAATTATAAATGGGAACTTGAAATTCCTATGGCTGCCAGACCAGTTTACTGGGCAGCCCACAGATGGCATTGAGAAATGATCAGCTACTAAACAGCTGTTAATTAATTATTTAATTTATATTTAATAGTATTTCTTTAAGGTCGTAGCATCCCATGGTGCTTTAGAGACATATGGGAAGTGTTAACTAATTGGCCAGGGTTAGTGTCTTGATGAAGGTAACCACCATAGGTTTGGCAAAACAGTTAATCCAGCAAAGCTTTGGAACCACGGGTGCCGGAAAATCGGTGGTGTACCTACCTGTATAAGGAACTAATATCTTTCTGGTAGTAAATGAAAATTAAAGGAAGAATGGAACAAGACCAGGGATAATCATGAATGAAAGACAAGGTTTCAGAATTTTTTTCTCATAATAAATTGTTGACAGGATCACATTAAGGTAAAAAGGTGTTTAACAGTAGCTTTGTTGTGGTTGGCAGACAGGGAGCCTCTGGAATCTTCAGGCAAACAGTTGTAGATTTTATGTCCTTTTTGAGTTTTTACAGGTTGATTTGGAAACATGGAATATCAGAGATTTTGTCTGGTATTATGCCTATGAGTTCTGTTGCAACTATAAAGTTTCAGAGAAGAATTGATATTAGAATCACTTGTCCTGTATATGTAGTATGCACAGTAGTATGAGTGAATTTTATGTATATTAAGTAAGTTAGTTGGGGAGTATGTTGTCTGGCTCTAGACTGAGTGATTATTCTTACAGCTGAGTTTTGTTGAGTTAATATTGACTTTAGGTGATTTGTTGTAGTGGATCCTCAGAATTTATTTAAAATGGTACTGTTTGTACCATTATTAATTGTACTGTTTGTAATTTTGTTTATGCCAGTATTAATTTATAATGTATAATGTATAATTGTACTACTTTTAATATTGTTTCTTTATTCTATCTAGACTTAAGTAATCTTTAAGTATTTGGATTAGTCTGCCCGAAATTCCCTGGCATGATAGTGGCTTTTTTTGTACCTAACACATCAAAAATGTAATTACACATTGTAACCTTTGCAAAGAAATAAATCAATCTTTGTCTTTTGTCTTTGCAATAGGAGAACTTTTGATCGTAACACTTTGTTGGATATCTGTAGCTCTGTTTCCAAACATCATGTAGAAGGTCTTGTCAGCATTTAGACTGAGTCTGTTAGCAATTATCCAAGTAGATATCTTTGAGCTTCTTATTAACAGTGTCATTGAGAGAGGTTGGATTTGGGTGGGACTAACTAAAGTTGTCATAGCATATATGTAGAACTAGCAGCAGGTATACACACCCTATTTGTTGATGACAGACACCTGGTAGGTAGAGAGAATGACAGTGCAGTCCATTGAGAGAATGTAAGCATATCAAGTGTAGTGTATACTCTTATGCTCAGTCAAGATAAATTCATTTTTACACTCATAACCAATGTTTGTTATTCTTTATCAACAGCTAAGCCAGTGATAGAAGTGCTTGAGGGTCATAACCTTACGAGGTTCCTAGATCTCCTTGAAGCAGCTGAAATGACTGATGAACTTTCAAGTATGACGGATGTTACAGTCTTCGCTCCAAGTAACAGAGCTATTGATGAAATCCCAGAAGATGTGCTAGATAATCTAAAGGTAAAAAGATGTTAATTGTAAATTATGATTGTTAGTGGGAAGTGCTAAACCCCAGCACCTGGAGACTAGAAGAGGTGGATCAGGTGGTTAGTCATGTTTGATCTGAGGAAGGGGAGAGTAGCTCTAATTCCTTGGATCAGTGTAACCTAAAAATCGTCAAAATTTCATTAATTATGAATATACTATCTAGTTTTTAAATATACTAGACTTGTGCTCAGATTACAGTCAGCACTGGTTTTTACACTATCCAGCTCTATTATAGATTGTTTAACTATTGAATTTCAGGTAAGAGTTTTCTTTATTTTATGTATAAAAATGAGAAGTTGAAAACAAACCTCAATTTTTTTTTCTCTCCAACACACCGGTCATATCCCACCAAGGCAGGGTGACCTAAAAAGAAAAACTAAAGTTTTTCTTTTTCAAGTTAATGTATACAGGAGAAGGGGTTACTAGCTCCTTGCCCCCGGCATTTTAGTCGCCTCTTACGACACGCGTAGCTTATGGAGGAAGAATTCTTTTCCACTTCCTCATGGAGGTAGGAAATAACGAACAAGAACTGTTAAGAAAATAGAAGAAAACCCAGGGGGGTGTGTGTATATATATGCTTGTATATGCATGTGTAGTGTGACCTAAGTGTAAGTAGAAGTAGCAAGATATACCTGTTATCCCGTGTGTTTGAGACAGAAAAAAGATACCAGCAATCCTACCATGTAAAATAATTATAGGTTTCTGTTTCACACTCACATGGCAGAATGATAGTACATGTACCTCCCTGGGTGGTTGCTGTCTACCAGTCTACTACCTAGGAACACAACTAATATCTAATAATACATTTGCTGCCTAATTAACCTTAGATTCTTTCCTAGTTTGTTATGCATAAAAATTCATGACATTTTGTAAAGTGTGAGGAAGCTTTTAGATATTTACAATTTTATATACGTGTAACACAGATGTTAAAATTTTTGAGTCAAGAAGGCATCTTAAGGATTTCATTATATCATAATACCAAAGATATTTTTAGCTATGCTTGGTTCCTTATCTTCTGGATTTTTAAAGGTGTTTTTGATAATTTTCCAAGGTTTATGAAAATAAACTGTGTCTGTGTATGTCTGTCTGTGTGTACAGGAGGGCTCTGCTTATACAGCAGATTAGGTTCTGGGCTACTGCTGTAAAGCAAAAATTGCTGTAAAGTGAATCATAGGCTTTTTTCACTTTCAAATGCATATCAAAGTCTGATAACATGTTTACATTATATATATTAAATGAGCAATATAACTAGGCCTAAAAATGCAGTACATACATTACTTACCTTAAAATATTTTCATCTTTAGCTTACAGTGAATGGTGAAAATATTTACTGTATGGAAGACTGAAAAAAATAGAATGGGTATAACTGAAAACTGCTGAATTAATGAAATGCGGAACTGAAGTGCTTATAAGCAGGGCCTGCAACTCTCCTATTATTATTATTATTACTTATCAGGGGGAAGCGCTAAACCGGAGGATATACAGCGCTTGGGGGGGGAAGTGGTAAGGCATTCAGGCTTAATCTGGAGAACTGTGGACATCCAGATTCCCTAAATTCAAGAGCCCCTTCACCAACTCAAGAACTTCCATGAGGGGTATTACTCTGCTAAATGGTACAAGGGTCAGTTTAGAATCTAGCTCGCCTTCTCTGGCATCTTGTTCTCTTCTCGTCTTGAGCATGAGTGAATACTGAAGAAGTTTTTGGCTGGATTCTTCATACTTGAAAACATATTTTGGATTATTCCAGATTTCCTTGTTGATTTTTTGTTCCTGTGGTATGACTACCTTAGTTTGAGTTGCTAGTTTACTGTGTAAAAAGAAACCATAATTTCATTTTGTTTGCAGAATAATCCCAGTAAGCTGAGGGACATTCTTAGGTATCATATGGCCACACCTTCACTTCAGGCTGATGACATTGCTAATGATCATATTGCTACAACTCGCGCTGAACAGCCTCTCAGAATCAATCTGTATTCACGAGTAAGTTTTGTAATTATTAAGCATTTAGGACAGTTAATTGGTGCCAAGAAATACTCTTTCAGGAAAGAATTGATATTTGGCTTTGTTTGTTATACATAAGTAGGCAGATATTAGACAAAAGATAACTAAATCTTGAAAGTATAACAATAAAGTTTAAATTTAAAGTTTCATTAGCTTGCAAAGATGTACTAATTCTTGATTAGCAGTATTTGTGTTGCTAAAATACATGATGGTATATATTTTCATTTAAGTTTTACTAATGCAAAATTATGAAAATTCCAGTCACCAATTTTGTCTGGTGTATTGGGAACCAATGGACGTCGCCATGTTCGCCTGACAGCTGGGTGTAGTAGAGTGTCTATTCTGGATTCCCGGGCTTGTGGTGCAGTGGTTCACATTGTAGAAAAGATGCTTAAAATGCCAAAGACCAGTGTGATGCAGCATTTGGAGGAGGAGGACAACTTCTCCATTTTCACAAAGATGTTGCAGGTATTATTGCTTCCTTTGAAGTTATTTGATTTTGTGGCAAAGGAGTGTGGCAGCTATATTTAATATTTTGATTGTGTTTACTTTGTATTGTATTTTTGTAGACTTTAAAACCTGTTGTCTCATTCTGCAGGATACTGGACTCAATGAAACACTAAGTGAAAAGGGACCATTCACTGTCCTTGCTCCCACTGACCACGTCTTCAAAACTCTTCCTGAAATGGAACTTGAGCAGATTCTTGAAGATGAGGAACTCCAGAAACTCCTTATCAAGCAACATGTCCTCAAAGGTAATTCAGTTAAGGTTACTTCTCAACAAGTTAATTAGTGATAATTTTTTGGAAGATGTAGGAGAGTATTTGATCTAAGGAGGTAAAAAGGAGAATAAACTATAGTAGTGTCATAATTTTTATATGGGTGTGAGAAATAGGGTTTAAATGTTGCAAGAAGGAGGAGGCTGGAGGCAGTGTTGAGTTGTTTTTTTTTCTTTTAAAGCTGTGTGGTGTGACTATTATGGAGAGAATTTGGAGCATAGAAATTAGGATACATTCTGGTGTTATGAAAGGTATAATTCAGTGCTGAGGAAGAATAGGATGATCAAGAGGGTCTATACCACTGGAATGGAAGGATGGGTAGGGGTTGTATCAGGAAAGGGAGGGATGGGGCAAAGGAGGTTTTGAGTGTGTATTGCTTGAGTATCCAGCATGTTAAATTGGAGAAAAGTGGCTCTTGTGGCTTGACCTGCTGTTGGAGTGTGACCAAAATAACATTTATGAAGGAGTTCAGAGAAACTGGCTAGCTTGACTTTTTGAGTCCTGAAGTCCGGAAGGTGATCCAACTGAATTGAACAATTATAGACCTATATCAAACCTGCCCCCTCCTATCTAAAATCTTCGAAAAATTAATTCACAAACAAGTCTACTCCTACCTCATATCCCGCAACATACTCAACCCTTGTCAGTTTGGGTTCAGACCGATAAAAAGTACTAATGATGCTATTATGCATATGTTCTGCACTCGAGAAAAATGAATTTTCCATGGGGCTTTTCATAGACTTATGAAAAGCTTTTGATGCAGTTGACCATGACCTTTTGCACCATAAACTTGAACATTACGGGGTCAGAGGACATTTTCTCGATTACCTAAAATCTTATCTTGACAAACAATAGAACCCAGTATGTATACACAAATGGAGCCAGCTCCACTACAGAACCTGTTCTTGTTGGAGTCCCACAGGGATGCATTCTTGGCCCACTTCTCTTTTTCATTTACATCAGTGACCTGCCAAATGCATCTAATCTCCTTAATCCCATTTTATTTGCAGATGACACAATTTGTCTTTTCTCCCCCAAACCCAACAATACTAAAAGATACAGTAAATTCTGAACTGCTAAAAATATCTACTTGGATGATTGCCAACAAACTTATTCTCAATACAGACAAAACCTACTTCATGCTTTTTGGAAACAGGTTCAAATGTACAGCTAAACATATTGATAAATGGTTCACCGATTTTGAGACAGGCAGAGGGCAAATTTCTAGGTCTCCACCTTGACTGCAGTCTCAAATTTCAGACACACGTACAGAAAATTTCCAAGTCTCCAAAACAGTAGGCATCCATTCAAGATACAAAGCTAGAAGAACTAATTGAGATACATAGTACTGTACCACTCTCATTTACCCTTACCTCACCTATGGTATTTGTGTATGGAGCTCAACCACAGCAAATCACCTTAAGCCTTTAATAACCCAGCAAAAAAGCTGCAGTGCTATTGATTACTAACTCCTGCATTAGACAACACACTCCACATCTTTTCAAGAGTCTTAGCTTGCTAAATATACAAAACATCCACACTTATTATTATTCTTTCAACAAACCGGCCGTATCCCACTAAGGCAGGGTGGCCCAAAAAGAAAAACTAAACTTTCTCTTTTTAAATTTAGTAATTTATACAGGCGAAGGGGTTACTAGCCCCTTGCTCCCGGCATTTTAGTCGCCTTTTACAACACGCATGGCTTACGGAGGATGAATTCTGTTCCACTTCCCCATGGAGATAAGAGGAAATAAACAAGAACAAGAACTAGAAAGAAAATAGAAGAAAACCCAGAGGGGTGTGTATATATAAGAACGAAGGAACACCGCAACAGGCCTACTGACCCATGCAGAGCAGGTCCATGTCCCCCCGCCCCTCCGGATAAGCCCAATGACCCACCCAGTCTGGTCACCTCCACTCAAGGAAGGAGCACGGCACCAGACCCAGCAGCACAAGCTAGTCAGGTCCAACTCGCACCCACCCACACCCCCTCATGTATTTATCTAACCTATTTTTAAAACTACACAACGTTTTAGCCTCAATAACTATACTCGGGAGTTTGTTCCACTCATCCACAACTCTGTTACCAAACCAGTGCTTTCCTATATCCTTTCTGAACTGAATTTTTCCAACTTGAAACCATTGCTGCGAGTCCTGTCTTGGCTGGAAATTTTCAGCACGCTATTTACATCCCCTTTATTTATTCTTGTTTTCCATTAATACACCTCGATCATATCCCCCCTAATTCTACGCCTTTTGAGAGAATGCAGATTCAGGGCCCTCAGTCTATCCTCATAGGGAAGATTTCTGATACATGGGATCATCTTTGTCATCCTCCTCCCTACGTTTTCCAGAGCATTTATATTCATTCTGTAATACGGTGACCAGAACTGAGCAGCATAGTCTAAATGAGGCCTAACCGAGGATTTATAGAGTTGAAGAACAACCTGAAGACTTCTATTATTTATACTTCTAGATATGAAGCCAAGAATTCTGTTAGCTTTATTGCGAACACTAATGCACTGTTGTCTTGGTTTTAGATTACTGCTAACCAGAACTCCTAAATCCTCTTTGCAATCAGTAGTATTAAGATCTACATTATTTAGTTTATATGCCGCATGGTTATTTTCCTGTCCAACATTTAGAACTTTGCATTTGTCTATATTAAACTGCATGTCCCACTTCTCCAACCATTGCATCAGTCTACTCAAATCATCCTGGAGTGCTCTAGTGTCCTCATTAGAATGAATTGGACGGCCTATTTTGGTGTCATCAGCAAATTTGCTTATGTCGCTATTTATTCCCTCATCTGTCATTTATGTAAATTATGCCTACTATATACACAGAACACTATACTCTAATGTAAACCCTCCCCTCAAACTCCTTGATAACTATAATAGAACACACAACCATAATACGAGACACAGATCACTCTTCGATGTCCCTCATGTTCATCTCTCCCTATGCAAAAATGCCATGCACGTAAAAGGCCCGAAGATCTGGAATTCATTGCCAGAACACGCTAAAGGATCCCTATCCCTATCTAATCAGAAATCGCCTCATCACCCAAAATTAACCAGACAAACCGTACCTAACCGCTACCAGATTCTCAAAAGCTACTCATATTGTGCTGATGAATGCTCAACCATTTACTACTTCGAAATTAGGATGTCTGTTTTTTCATTGTTTTAAATAGTAGTAGATTGTAATACAGTAAATCATAATGTAAATTGTTCCATTGTAATACCAAATTTCATTGTTTTAAATAGTACTAAACTGTAATACATCGTATTGTAAATTGTTTTAAATTATTACATTGTAATACTGTAATTTTTATTAACTAATTCAATAGTGTAATGATAGAATGTTCGGTTCTCCTGTACTCACTGTAACTCGTCTAATGACCATATGATCAATGTATTATTGCCTTACTAATCTTAAGTTACTCTTTAAGTTTGCCTGAAATGCTCTGCATACAAAGGGGCTTTTGGTATGTACACCCAACTATATTCCTCTGTACAACCATGTAATTTGTCAAAATAAACATCTTAATCTTAGGGTGAGGTGGGGTGTGTTGAGATTCAGAGGGTCATTTGAACTGTGATGTCTGTGCACTTCTGGCAAGACAACTAATTAATGAATGATGGCGAGTGGTTTTTACTTTGTCATTCAACCTTGGTGGGGGATGGCTGTTGTGTTAAAAAAAAAAAAAAGTTTTTCTTAAGTAGGAAGCACTAAGCCTGTAAATCACAGATAAAACATTGTTGACTCTTTAAATGAAATGGGAACACTAAATGACTGTAAAAGAATGTCTGTCAGTAATACAAATGAAATTTCTGGATTGTTTATAATGGGACACAGCTGTGTCAAGGTCCTGTGTCAAGATCCTCATAGGTAACAAGGCAGTACAGCATTATCAATAAAGTAGATATACATGAAAGTAGTGCCTGGCACATCTTCACTTTACATCTTTCCTTAAATTTTAATATTGCAAATTTTATGTTCATATTTTTTTCCTTGCAGATGTAGATTACAAAAAACGTTGACCTCAATGTACCTTTTGTATCACTTGGCTCAGATCATTTTAAGTCAGAAATGTTCGATTTTTACCAAAGTTCAAAAGTAAACAAATCATGCTAAGCGTCCAATACACGTCAACTGGTGAGTCTAATATTCTTTCACAAGTGCGCTGATATTATTTATACCATTTCTACACTAATGCCGTAGTCTTCATAACAGTAAATCTTCTATTTTTTGTGAGAATAAAAATTCAAAGTGGAAAGCAAAAGAATGTAAGAGTGGCATGGGGCTGTAACTAATGAACAGAGGAAATGTTATTTTAGTGCCAGGAATGTCTTTCTTGTTTATTCTGGACCCTATTTGGAAATTGGCATCTTTTGAAATTTGTGTGAAATTGGCAAAATTTCTAAATTCTGACCACTGTATTGGATAGTTGAAATCGGTAAATTGGTGGTTTCTTGTACTCATTCGATAGAAAAAAAAAAATGGAGTTCTAGCGAAATAGTTATGATTTTTGTCTACTAGTACACTGGAATTGGCCGAAAATAGGGCTCAAAGTGGGCAAAATCGCTGATGCAAGAGCATAATTCCGTAAGTTTTCCATCAAATTTCATACTTTTGGTGTCATTATGATCGGGAAAAGATTCTCTTATCTTTTCATGAGAATTTTTTTTTTTTTTTTTTTTTTTTTTTTTAATTTGGGCGACCCTGAGAACAAGTCTGGGGACCCTGAAAGGGTTAATATGCTTAGATTTTTTAGGGTAGTCTTTTGTAGAGTACTATCGAAAACTTAAAAGCATGGTTGTAAATTAGGATTTGTTTTCCATATTTGAATAATCTTTTTTATTTGTTTTTTAAATGGTTGATAAAATATAAGAAGTAACCTATATAGTGGAACCCCGAGTTTCGGCCACCCTGAGTATCAGCCGCTTTGAGTTTCAACTGTTTTTTTTTTTTTTTTTTTTTTTGGCTAAATATTGTCCCGAGTTTTGGCCGTTGTCCCTTGTTTCGGCCAGCATACCAGACCTGTCCACCTGCGCGCCTAACTGTGTAGGCATCGTGAGCCAGTCTAGCTTTGTTTATCCCTGAGTACACATTACCCTGCACGCTCATCAGAACATTTCACAGTAAATTCATTGTGTTTAGTGCTTGTTTATTGATTGTGACTGAAATAAGCCACCATGGGCCCAAAGAAACTTTATAGTGGCAGTGAGGAAGTGGTTGAGGCAGTGGTGGAGGCAATGATAAGTCCTCCCTCTCTCCTCCTCCCTATCTTCCAGATGCCAATAAGAGTCTTCAATAAAGGTATGTAAATGTGATTTTAAATGTTTATGTATTGTATTACTCATTTAATACTATATGCAAGTTAAACTATAGTTATTCTTTAAAAATGTATTTTTTGTGAATATTTTTGTCGGTGTGGAATGGATTAATTGTATTTACATTATTTCTTATGGCAAATATTGCTTTGACTTTCAGCCGTCTCGAGTTTAGGCCTAGCTCCTGGAATGGATTACAGCTGAAATTCGGGGTTCCACTGTACAGTAAAATTTTAAAATTAGAACATATTTTTTTGTGGATGAATTTTAGCATTGCCTTAAACAGTTTTCTTACAAACATCCAGAGGTTCTTTGGCTGTTTACAGACTGATAAAAAAAAATAAGCCCTAAATTCGTGTTGGTCGTACAGCACTGTAAACAAACTGAAATACTTAAACATTAACGTTTAATAACACACAGTTTACTCACTTTACAAATTATGTATATCACTCAGGTCTTATTTATTGTCATGTCTCATCCATTTTTCCACATTGAAAAAGTTTTCACACACTCCAAAACATACAACACTTGTTGTATTAGTATTGTATCTTGTTTAGATTGTAATGTTATTTTTTAATGTCTATGCAATGTATGCATTTTTTACATGTTTATCATTCACTTCACTTAAAATTGCTAGCCTGTGTTGAACCGTACAATTAACTTACAGAACATGTGTGCTGTGCTGGCATCAACCCGAGCACCTGGTTGTTCATGGATCATAAGAGGCCTGTGGAGGGAACACCAATTCATGTTCGTCGTACTAGCTCTGGCCGTCTAATGGCCGGTTCTGCTCGAATAACTCATTGCTCAGCTCCCACATTGAATGGGCTGGTTCACACTGTCAATCACCTTCTTGTTAACGTTCAGCCTCGCCAACAAGGTGGTTCTCAAGACCGCACTAATAGGCCAATTTTTTCTGCCCCTGGATTTGAAATTTTGTTTGGATAATGGGGAAACCATGTGATATTATAAGTGATAATACATAGGGTGGTGGAAAGCAATTTGAGAACCTTTAGTTGCATTAAAGCATATATAGTTTTTAATATACAGTACAGTATACTTGTTTGTAGATATAGTACATAATGGCATATCACTGGTGAGGTGAAATCTACTTTCTAGTGCAAGTATATATTTATGAACTCAAGCAAGCACATACAGTAAATTCTACAAAGTGAAAGGTATTGAAAATTTGTTAATTTACATTATAAAATTTTCTTTGTGAATACAAGTGGTGATTTGCCTTGAAATTACACAAATTCTTCAAGTTAGTACGTATATGTAAATTAAACAGTGTATTCTGAGTTTTAACATTTATACAACCAGTTTTTCAGTCTGTAAGTACTGTACACATGTATGTGCCTTAGTGATGATATGTAGTTAATTATTCATGCTTATGCATGCAATACACACCTCAATAACACACAGGCAGTGTAATCTCTTAGAATTTCTCATACAAACATCAGTACAGTACCAGCATTAATACTATTGTTGAACTGATAGTAATACATGTGAAATTTCAAAATAAAGAACACATAAGTTCTAATTTTTTCTTCAGTAGACTAAGAAGAGCACTGTCTGGGTTGTTATAGTTACTTTATAATATGAAGTACACCTTACCTTAGTCAACATATTAGCTTATTTATTTATCCGACTAGTATTTTATCACGACGCCGCAGGGCTTTTACAATAATTCCTGTGTTGTATAGTTATAAGTACATGTTCCGAAGTTTTATGTATGGCATCATAATAAATTTTAACTACTACATGGGGTGTATGCAAATTTTTCATAAAACCTTATTATAATTTTGGTATATCATAGAACAGCACCTTTTGAAAGCTGCCCTACAGCTTCAATGTCTTCTTTATGCTATTTTCTTATTTTATTATTATTATCACACTGGCCGATTCCCACCAAGGCAGGGTGGCCCGAAAAAGAAAAACTTTCACCATCATTCACTCCATCACTGTCTTGCCAGAAGGGTGCTTTACACTACAGTTTTTAAACTGCAACATTAACACCCGTCCTTCAGAGTACAGGCACTGTACTTCCCATCTCCAGGACTCGAGTCCGGCCTGCCGGTTTCCCTGAACCCTTTCATAAATGTTACTTTGCTCACACTCCAACAGCACGTCAAGTATTAAAAACCATTTGTCTCCATTCACTCCTATCAAACACGCTCACGCATGCCCGCTGGAAGTCCAAGCCTCTTGCACACAAAACCTCCTTTACCCCCTCCCTCCAACCTTTCCTAGGCCGACCCCTACCCCACCTTCCTTCCACTACAGACTGATACACTCTTGAAGTCATTCTGTTTCGCTCCATTCTCTCTACATGTCCGAACCACCTCAACAACCCTTCCTCAGCCCTCTGGACAACAGTTTTGGTAATCCCGCACCTTCTCCTAACTTCCAAACTACGAATTCTCTGCATTATATTCACACCACACATTGCCCTCAGACATGACATCTCCACTGCCTCCAGCCTTCTCCTCGCTGCAACATTCATCACCCACGCTTCACACCCATATAAGAGCGTTGGTAAAACTATACTCTCATACATTCCCCTCTTTGCCTCCAAGGACAAAGTTCTTTGTCTCCACAGACTCCTAAGTGCACCACTCACACTTTTTCCCTCATCAATTCAGTCTGAAACTGAGCGTGGAAAGGTAGTGAAGGACGTGTCGATCGTTTCTGAGAAGAACGAGAAGGTGGAGAAGTATCATCAGCAGGTAATTGTCGTTGGCGTTTAGGCGTGGGACCAGAGTTGGTCCGACGTGGAACGGGTCGGCAATTTGAAAATTGCCGCACCGTAGAGGGAGAGGCCGGAAGCATAGTCAGAGGAGAGCGAAGGTCTGATAAATCGAAGGAGTCAGTCGAGGCCTCAGTACCTGAAGCGGGTGAAGAAACAGCACCGGCAATAGGTACAGAGGCATGAGGAATGTCTGAAGAGTGGTCCAAAGACGAGGCGGGGTCAGAACGGGGTGCGGTATCAAGAAGGGGCCCGGGGGTACCAGGTTCATGGACTAGGGCTGCCATGGTTAGGTTACTTCTTTCTTTTTGTTTTTAAGAAAAAAAAAAGAAAGAAGAAAAGAAAATAAAAATAAAAAAAGAATAAAAAGGGGGGACCGGGGAGGGATAGTTCCTAGGAGGAATGAAAGGGCCAGAAATCTCCCTCCGCGCCCAAGAGGACCTCAGCACCGCAAGTAGCGCAGATGCAGCATGGAACCCGTGCCATACCCTACCCATCATGCTAGTAAACTAACAATCCGGGATAGCAACCTCACATCTGCCGAGCTACCTTGGTGGACAAAAGAGAGGGCGGCCGGATATCCGCCACAAAGCATACCTCCTTCGGCCACCACCCCCGGAATCCGAAAGGTGGCTTCCAGAGATACACTCATCGCCCGAAAGACACCCAAAGCTACTCCGGGATACCGGAGAGGGATCGGGACATCCCCAGGCGATCCAGATTCCACGGCAAACTACGCCACCGCTAAGAACCTCAATGGAATGGGATGGACCCCGGTATCCTTTCCCCTACCTAGGAACTAGCGCGCCTGTGGGAGAAATCCCAAAGGACAAAAAGAGGAAGGGCAAAAGGGAGGGGTGGGAGGAGGAGGAGGAAAGGAAGAAGGGGAGGATGGGATAGGGGAGGGGAGATTGGGGGGTAATTAGGTTCGGTCTGAGGAAGAAGACCGATAGGTCTAATTCCTCAGACCAAGAGCCTCTTCACCACGCCAAGGAGCCCCCCTTGAAGAGGTATCTCATGGAGAGGCACCCTGTTCCTCTCTGTGAGCAGTGTCAAGTTCCAGTATCGATTAGCCACATTCTGTTAGACTGCCCTCTCTATCAACGAGCACGCAGAATTTACCTCCAACGTCGTCTTCGTTCTACTACTCTCTCTTTACCTTCCCTTCTTGCTGATGGACCCTCCTTTAATCCTGACTCTCTCATTGACTTCTTGACAATGACTGATTTACTCCACAAACTCTGATGATACTTTTCTCACTCCCCTCAGCCCTTTCTAGTTCAGTCTCTTGCTGCCCTTTACCCTTTCACCATCCACTGCCCCGCTGTTATCCGTAACCTATTACTCATCCATCTCCCTTTTGCCACCTGATGCCCTCGCTTCCTTCCTGCCCTGCAGCGCTGTATAGTCCTTGTGGCTTAGCGCTTCTTTTTGATTATAATAATAATCTTCGAGGGAAAGTGAAAGATGGTGATTTGGAGAAGATTCCGTTACTTGGGGAAATGCTGCTGTTGCCTTGTTTGATTCAGGTTATGTATCCATATCATTTCAGCAATAATAGCTATAATATTTAGAGACTAATTTTTACTATGCAGACTGCTCAGTACTTGTACCAATAAAAAAATGATATACAAAACATTCTAAAGAAAAGTTGCAAAAGTTAGTGGATGAGCCTGGGAGGGTAGAAAGTTGAAGTGAACATAGATAAGAGTAAGGTGATGAGGGTATCAAATGATTTAGATAAAGAAAAACTGGATATCACATTGGAGAGAGGGAGTATGGAAGAAGTGAATGTTTTTCAAATATTTGGGAGTTGACATGTCAGCGGATGGGTTTATGAAGGATGAGGTTAACCATAGAATTGATGAAGGAAAAAGTGAGTGGTGCGTTGAGGTATCTGTGGAGACAAAAAACGTTATACATGGAGGCAAAGAAGGGAATGTACAAAAGTATAGTGGTACCAACACTCTTATATGGGTGTGAAGCTTGGGTTGCAAATGCTGCAAGAAGAAGCAGCTGGAGGCAGTGGAGATGTCCTGGCTAAGGGCACTGTGTGGTGTAAATATTATGCAGAGAATTTGGAGTGTGGAAATTAGGAGAAGGTGTGGAGTTACTAAAAGTATTAGTCAGAGGGCTGAAGAGGGGTTGAGGTTGTTTGGTCATTTAGAGAGAATGGATCAAAGTAGAATGACTCTGAGAGCGTATAAATCTGTAGGGTAAGGAAGGCAGGGCAGGGGTTGTCCTCGAAAAAGTTGGAGGGGGTAAAGGAGGTTTTGTGGACAAGGGGCTTGACCTTTCAGTAAGCATGTGTGAGCACGTTAGATGGGAGTGAATGGAGATGAATGATTTTTGGGACTTGACGAGCTGTTGGAGTGTGAGCAGTTTAATATTTAGTGAAGGGATTCAGGGAAACCAGTTATTTTTATATAGCCAGACTTGAGTACTGGAAATGGGAAGTACAATGCCTTCACTTTAAAGGAGGGGTTTGGGATATTGGCAGTTTGGAGGGATCTGTTATATATCTTTGTACAGTGGACCCCCGGTTTACGATCAGCTCCCAATGCGACCAATTATGTAAGTGTATTTTTGTAAGTGCATTTGTATGTATGTTTGGGGGTCTGAAATGGACTAATCTAATTCACAATATTCCTTATGGGAACAAATTCGGTCAGTACTGGCACCTGAACATACTTCTGGAATGAAATAATATCGTAAACCGGGGGTCCACTGTATGTGCTTCTACTCTGTTGTATCTGGGCACCTCTGCAAAGACAGTGATTATGTATGAGTGAGGTGAAAGTGTTGAATGATGATGAATGTATTTTCTTTTTGGGGATTTTCTTTCTTTTTGGGTCACCCTTCCTCGGTGGGAGACAGCCGACTTGAAAAAAAAAAATACAAAACACACCATCATATCAATTAAAAACAACCAGCGTAAAAACCCCATTAACTGTCCAAATGTAGATCCATGTTTTCTCTGCCAGTTCTCAGAATATTTTGATTTTTTTTAAATTAAAGAGGGCAATTTTTTGTGTTTATTAAGACCAAAAAAAAAAATTAGGGTCAGTACTTACCAAGACAAGACTGTAAAGCTGGTGCTGAATGCTCACCTGATGGCAACATGGAGTGCTGCTGCTTGCAGAAATGTTGCCAATATACCTTTTTTTCTCGTTTTTTTTTATAATTTACATACATTTTTTTTCAACACGTCAGCCGTTTCCCACTGAGGCAGGGTGACCCAAAAAGAAAAACCCAAAAAGAAAGAAAAAACTTTCGTCATTCAACACTTTCACCATCACTCAGGCATAATCACTGTCTTTGCACAGGCGCTCAGACACGACAGCTTAAAGATCCCTCCAAACTGCCAATATCCTAAACCCCTCTTTTAAAGTGCAAGCACTGTACTTCCCATTTCCAGGTCTCAAGTCTGGCTAACCAGTTTCCCTGAATCCCTTCACAAAATATTACCTTGCTCACACTCCAACAGCTCGTCAGGTCCCAAAACCATTTGTCTCCATTTATTTCTAACACTCTCAAACATGCTTGCTGGAAGTCCAAGCCTCTCGCTCACAAAACCTTCTTTACCCCCTCCCTCCAACCTTTTTGGGGATGACATTTACCCCACCTACCTTCTCCTACAGGTTTATATGCTCTCCAAGTCATTCTACTTTCTTCCATTCTCTCTAAATGACCAAACCACCACAACAGCCCCTCTTCAGCCCTCTAATACTTTCAGTAACTCCACACCTAATTTCCACACCATGAATTCTCTGCATAATATTTACACCACACATTGCCCTTAGACATGACATCTCCACTGCCTCAAGCCTCCTCTTTGCTGCAGCATTTACAACCCATGCTTCATATCCATGTAAGAGTGTTGGTACCACTATACTCTCGTACAGTCCCTTCTTTGCTTCCATCAATAACGTTTTGTCTCCACAGATAACTCAACATACCACTCACGTTTTTTCCTTCATCGATTCTATGGTTAAACTCATCTTTCATAAAC